GCTGCTGGATCTGCGCATCGGCGGGCAGATTCATCTTCGTGTGTCCTCCCGCGTGACGCGATGCCGCTCATTCTTCGCCTCTGCCTGCACGCTGTCGACGCCAGGAGCGACAGTCGCCAAAGGACGCAGTTGTGGCTGTCCTTCTCCATAGTGCACTCGACCAGCACGAGGGACATCATTCAGCTCGCACGGCGGAGCGTGGAGGAGCGCATGGCGGCGGAGCTCGAGGTGCGGGCGTCGCACCAGACACAGCTCGCCCTCTGTGTGCGCAACGTTCATGGCCAGTACGTCTTCCTCGGCACTGCCGCCATGACGGAAGCGTCGGCGCCCATCATGAAGATGCCGTTTCTCATGGAGTTGCTGCGCGTGGAACAGGAGAAACTGCGCAGCTCCGCCTCCGCGTCTGAGGAGGCTACAGCGGCGTGGAAGGAGTTCATCTTCGTCCGCGGCGCCCTCGTGCCGCTGGCGGACTTGCGGCGCCTTAACCGCAGACTCGGCAACGGCGATGACGCGCAGTTCGCGATGTACGAGACGGTGGAGATCACACCGGAGCTCGGCAGCGATCCCGTTGTGGCGGACCCCCCGCCACTGTGGACGCCCGACCAGAGCAGCATCAATATCCCAGTTCCTGCGGCCCCCAACAGCAACAGCAAAAAAAATAATAAAAACGATATCAGCAACAGCGGGGCTGCCACACCCATTCGTGTGCGGTACGTGGACTTCGCTGGGCGGCACTACACAGCAGTGGTGCAGCCGCCAGACGCACATTCACTCAGCGCTGTGTTGTATGCGGCGTGTACAACCATCGGTGCGCAGGTGGGCTGCGCCTTTCAGCCATCCAATATGACACTTATGTGCAGCTTTGGGAACACGGGCTTCCATGCAGTGGACAACGACACTACGCTCACGGAGGCGCTCAAGGACGATGACGCGCGGCTGTACCTGGCAGCGGACACTCGATTGCTGTCATCCCCGTCGCCGCAGCGCTCAGAGGCATCGTCGCAGCCTGCAAAGACTCCGCTTCGTGAGGGAGAACCTGTCTTATTGCTGCAGGAGTCAAGAGATGAATATATTGTAGAAGCAGCTGCGACATCATCATCATCATCATCATTATCCGCAGCAGCAGCAGCAGCAGCATCAGAAAGAAGCATCCCGCCCTGGGGTTTGGCTACCAGCGCAGTAACCATCCGTCGTGTCGGCACTGTTAGCCCTACACCGTCTTTTACGCCACGTGACCGACAATCTGTTTTGCGTACGAGACCCGTGGTAGGAGTAACAGCAGCAGTAGCGACGGGCATGCGTGATGAGGAGGACAACGCACGACTACGTCTTGCCGCTGCACACCTCCAAATGGACGAGGCGCAGCGACGTTATATGACGGTTATGCGTGAAAGCAGCTGCAACGCCGCGTGCACGGAGCTGCTCAAGAAGAAGACCGTGCTGTCAGAAGAGCTGACAGAGTGCATCAGTGCGGAGCGCGATTGCGAGAGGTTAGAGATGCTTGTGGCGTGGCTGGAGAAGGACATCGCCGACGGCCACGCGCGGCAGGAGAAGTTGATACGGGCTCTCTATGCCACGTAGGACCCATCTCTCCGTGAGTTGTACGTTTCTTTGCACGATGGGCTTGGGGCATTGTAGAGGAGGCAGGGCCAAAACAAGACGGAAAAGGAGCAAGTGAGAAAGACACACACACACACACACACACAGAGAGAGAAAGAGAGAGAGAGATACAAACATTGGGCGACGGATTTGTTTCCACACCGGTGCAAGAAACACTCATACCCACACACATAGACGCCTATATAGTGTCTGTGTGATTCCAGCTGATGTGACATATTTGCTTTCAGTGCTTTTCTGCTTCCTCATTCCAATGAAGAAGCCGCTATATTCCTCCTCTCGCTTGCAACTTCTCCCCATGACGGTTGGTGTTTGCCAAGTGGCTGAATGGCTGGCGGCGGCGGCGGCGGGGAGGGGGACATGCCGAATGAGGAGCCGTTCATCGCCAACCTCCTCGTGGACGCCGTGGATGACCGCTTTCAGAAAAATCGCTTCAACGTTGAGTTCGCCTTTCTACGCGACACCACCGTGGAGACGGTGCTGACAGATCTTGAAGAGGCCTTAGTCGGTATGGGCCTGCGGCTGGCGATTCCGTACAACCAATGCGCACTGGCGTACGACAGCAGCCGCAACAATAGCAATATCAACAACACTGATATACGCGACACTTTAGAGGAAGGCTTACGCACGGGGGATGACGGAAGCATTGCAGTGCTTTCCGGGAAGGATTACATCTTAGAAGCGCCGGAGGTGGAGGCCTTTTACGACCTCAACCGCCGCTGCGGCTTGAAGCGCGTCGCAATATTCCTCGTCGTGCGGAGATCGGCAGGTCCTCTACTGACACATGGCACTTCCCATGCTTTGAAGGAGATGAGCAGCTCCGCGGCCGATGGCGAAGGAACGGCAGCAGCTAAAGAGGTAGGAGGACTAGAGGTATACCTCCTCTCCCGTCAGCTACAGTTCGACCAATTTCCAGAGGCGTTAGAAACCTCAACCAACGATAATGACGAGATGAGTAACGACTATCAAAGTGCCTTGACACGCGTTCGAGCGATGGTGAATGCGGAGGAGAAGTCTATACTCACCGCCCGTCACCAGCAGCAATACCCACACCGAGAACCACACTGGTCGATTCAGCTGAATAAGCCACCCTCTCGGCTGGAGTGGTTGAAGGCGCTTGAAGCAGAGGCTGAATCATACGACCGTCTGACCGCTCAGTTCACACAGGTAACTTCAGCCGAAGTGGCACGGCAGGAGAAGGCGCGTGCCGTGCTACAGGAAGAGGTGACAAAGCTCCATGGGCGGATTGATAGTGCGAAGGTCAACGTCACGAAGCGACAGGTGTTGCAGGATCGGGTTGAGGAACTCAAGATGGAGATAGAGGCACAGCGAGAAAAGGAACAGGAGCTTCTTCAAGCGCTAGAAAAGGTGAAGGTGAAGGAGGTGCGAGACCGTTCACCACCGGGGCCCCCACCTACTTCTTCGGTGCTATTGGCGCGGCAGGACGGCCGTATTTCTTCCCAGCATCGAACACCCGTAACGCATGAACCTGTTCCGAACTACTCTGCCATTCACGGTTCCAGTGCAGGAGCGGCTGCTGGCGGTGGTGGCGGCTCGAATTTTCTGTCGCCGTCACTGAGCGAGGAGGTACGTCGCGCACTATCGCCACGTGCTGCTTCTCCCCTGAGTGCACAGCAGCAGAAGCAGCAGCAGCAACAAACCGACCTCCAAAGGCTGCGCCATCTCGCCGCGGAGCTCAGCCATCACCTGCGCTCGCAGAACCCTAACCCGGCCGAGCGACATCGACTCATGGAGGAGATACGTAGGCTTAGACAGCAGGTGGAGCAGCGGCAGGCGGAAGAGTCCCGTGTGACAGTGACTCCCTTGCGCTGGCGTGGCACGGACGGTGCTCCTTAACCGAGGGCACATCACCTACTTCTGTTGTGCAGACTTTTTTTATGGACTTCGCTCAAAGCTTCCGATGCTACGGTGGCTATAAAGAAGAAAAATAGAGTAAATATATGATGAGAAGAGTGACTATCGCGCATCAGTTCTCGTGCATCATTGTTCTCGTTGTTTCTGTCATCCATTCCCGAAGGAGCTTCCTCTTACCCAGGCCCCATGCAGTGTCTTTTTTTTCTTGTGGCGTGACCTCTACTCCGATTGTGAACCCTGCCCTTTATGGTGTGTTTCCCTGCGTCTCTTCTTTTCTTCTCTTTTCTCCCCTTGCGGCGGTGAAGGCCTTTGCCCAGCTGTCACAAAAAAAGAAAAAAACAGTGAAATTTTGTTAGCTATACAAGCAACTGTCGGGGGATACTGGGGGTGCTTTGGTCATACTACGGTTGCCAATTTTTTTTCTGTTCCGCGTGCAATAGTGGAGTAGCCCCATATACTCTTGACTCACACCGCTAACTGCATGCCCGGTCTGCCCACATCTTCGGAGATGCAGAGCTGCCCTCAACTGTATTCCGCAGGACTTCTGTTAACCCCCTCGGCTTCTCTTTCCACTTCGAGCAGCTGGGCTCTGCTGGACTTTTGCTCCTCCGACACGCAGCCACACGAGCTGACAGCTGGGCACCTCTCTCCGGAGTACGACGTTGTGTCGACCCCTGCGCTGCGGAGCTTTCTGCCGGCGGCAAGTTCACCGGATGATGCGCAATCTGAGAGTACCACGCCCGCATCCGAGGAGGACCCGGCCACTGCTCCACCAACAGGCCATCCCGATGAATGCGGCACTACGTCAGGTGCTGCTGGCGAGCGGCTGGATGTGCCCAGCAGTGAGTTGGGAGGCAAGCAGCGGCGTATGGAGTCTGGGGAGTGTGGTGATCCTCATCCCGCTCCCAAGAAAGACGAGCAATATTCATTGCGCTGCCGAAATGCATCGAATGTGCGAATTCCAGAGCGAGCTAGACGGTGCGGACGCTCTCGTTGTGGGAGACACCGTCGCCGACAGAAGAAGAAGCCGTCAGGTAGATCGTGAGGTGTGCTGCGCGGTTGAGCCAGCCGAGAGTCAAAAATGAAACGAATCGTGAGGAACGCTTTCTGGTCGACTTGGCGACTCCAGGTCTGTCTTCGAAACATTTTCATTGAAGTATTTCAATGTATAGTTCAGTGGTTGCTTCAGTCAGTGATCCTTCTTTCTTTTTTCGTTTATATACAGTGGACCATCTGATGTGATTTTGAACAAATATGGTGTGTTTCAGTGCTTTACCCTCTTGTGATCATCTTTTGTGGCGCCCTCCAAAAAGTTTTCTAGGTGCCATTTTCTTTATTTCATTCCAGTTGCTTAAACAGATGTGTGAGTGGCCGTTGACTTCTACGTCAAACACGTGTATCGCTTCTGATCCTCCTCTTTGACGATGTGTGCGTGTCGAACAGGGGCGGAGCGTAGCATCGTTGTTCTCGTTGTTTCTGTCATCCATTCCCAAAGGAGCTTCCTCTTACCCAGGTCCCATGCAGTGCCTTTTTTTTCTTGTGGCGTGACCTCTACTCCGATTGTGAACCCTGCCCTTTATGGTGTGTTTCCCTGCGTCTCTTCTTTTCTTCTCTTTTCTCCCCTTGCGGCGGTGAAGGCCTTTGCCCAGCTGTCACAAAAAAAAGAAAAAACAGTGAAATTTTGTTAGCTATACAAGCAACTGTCGGGGGATACTGGGGGTGCTTTGGTCATACTACGGTTGCCAATTTTTTTTCTGTTCCGCGTGTAATAGTGGAGTAGCCCCATATACTCTTGACTCACACCGCTAACTGCATGCCCGGTCTGCCCACATCTTCGGAGATGCAGAGCTGCCCTCAACTGTATTCCGCAGGACTTCTATTAACCCCCTCGGCTTCTCTTTCCACTTCGAGCAGCTGGGCTCTGCTGGACTTTTGCTCCTCCGACACGCAGCCACACGAGCTGACAGCTGGGCACCTCTCTCCGGAGTACGTCGATACACCTACCCCTGTGCCACACGTCTCACTCCCGGCGGCAAGTTCACCGGATGATGCGCAATCTGACAGTGGCACGGGCCAGACGGCGTCCTCCGGGTGGTCGGTACTTCCCAGCGAGTGGCCGTCGCCGCGGCTGGACGGCGCCACGCCAACATACGAGCAGGGCACGGGAGGCATTCTGCCAACTGGTCGCCCCGGTGAGTTGGGCAATGCATTGAGAGGCGAGTGGTGCCGGGGTATCCCCGTGGATGGGGCTTCCCGCTGGCTTCACAGCAGGGGTTTGCTGCGCACTGCCGCAGCACCCTGCAGACCGCGTTTCGGCTTCCCTTACATTACCCTTCTGCAGGCTTTGCCGCCACCCTCGGAGAGGGAGGGGAACATTTCTGCCGTCTTCCGCGGCGTCCTTCCACATCCAGTCTGCACAGAGACTGTGGGGAAGATGATTTTATCCGGTGGCGGCGCGGAGACGTTGCAGCAACCAGAGCGCGGTGCCTCGCTGACCCACGCCCCTAAAGACAGTGCTGATGAAAATGCCTCTAGAAGCGTGTCCAGCTCAGTGTACACATCGTGTTTCAGTATGGCGTTCATCCTTTCTTTGTTTCAGCAGCTGATGAGTATGGATGAGGAACACCAACGCAGGATGAGGCGGCAGCAGCGGCGGCAGCGTCGCCGTGAAGGTGGTCTTGGCGACGAGCTGCAGGACGGCTGGGCGTCTGTCGGGAAGTGGATCACGACCAGCATGGAGTCGCTTGTCTCTTGCGCACTGCATGGCATCATTGTGTTCATGCTGTAGGAGAGGGGGAGGCCACTGGGGTGGGGGCCAGCGGCATTCCATGCTTCCGTGTGCTGTTTTGGTTTCAGAGTGTGAGTGAGTGAGTGAGTGGGTGTGTGTGTGTGTAAACTTCATCCCTGCCTCTGTTGGTGGCTTGATTTTATTGTTTGCTTGTGCTTTTAGTTTCTTGATTTGCTTCGGAGTTGTGCCCCCACCCACAGAGTCACGCACGCACACACACACACACACACACACACACCCACTCACACACATGGTGCTTCTTTCTGATGGTCTCACTTTGATTCTTTCAGCTTGTTTACCCACCCGTCTTTCAACCAGAAAGTGACGCAAGGTGACGCGCTGGTGGGTGAATGCGAGAGCTCCACGAAGGAAAACAAACGATTTAACCAGCCATGCTGGAGAAGTATAAATGGGAAAGCTGAGGGCGCACAGAGAACGGCAATGGAAAACAGAATAAACCAAGAAAAAAAAAGCAAATGAACGAAGAGAAAAGTGGTGAAGGAAGGTGGCACGAGGCTAGAAAGTGGCATCAAAGAATAAGAACGTGGAGATTCAGAAAAAGAAGGGACACCTATCAGTCATGGTGGAGCTTGCGATGCCCATTGCCCGTTTTTAAAGAGGGGCGCAAGCAAAGCCTGCAGCGGCGCTCGCCACACGCTTGCGTTGCGTTCGGCTTGGGGGTGGGGACAGTGGAGTAAAGCGCGTATCTGCGTCCATACGCTTGTGTGCGCCTTACGCATCGTTGTTTTCGATGCGTTGCTATCTTTTTTTTTTGCTTTTTTTTTTCTTCTTCTTCTTTTTGCGGCTGCTGCTGTTGATGATGTGCCACCTGCTTTGGTTTTCTGCTTGTATACCTTTTTTTTTTTTATGGGTTTTAAAAACGGTGGTGCGCTCTTTTTTTGTTTTGTTTGTGCTGTTTATCTGCTCCTCGGGAACCTGTCGGCGTGCTGCCAGAGAGCCGGATGCAAGGCGCCAGTGGAAATGCACGGACGCAGACGCAAGAGCCGCGCTGAGGGGGGGACTCGCCCTCCAACCCCCAACGGCCACTGCCTTCTAAAAGCAAAACTCACATTGCCCCCACACTGTCTTTCCAGGGGACGGCCGTGAGGCTGAGAACTCTCCCGTGTGCCTCTGCTGTTTTTCTCTGCGTGGTGGCATCAATGGGGCCAATGCGGTGGATAGCCAGAGATTCTGCAACANGGGGGGGGGGGGGGGGGAGTTCTCTGTGTCGCCTTCGAAGGCCGAACCAACGCGCCTCGATGATAGCCAGAGGGTCACGAGTAGAACCCCATTGCCAATACAAGGGACTGGAGGTTGGGCGTTCAGGGTAGTGCAAGGCAATAGAGCGTGGTCGACCCTCATACCACGTTGGTCGACTCTTAGCTTCCCCAATCCAGGTGGAGTACTAAACCTTGGTACCACAGTAAGGTGGTCGACCTCGCCAAGGGTGTTGTTCATACGGAGACCCATTTCTTGTTGTAGTTTCTGCATCTCCCTCTCCCTGTCACTTACCCCTTCTTCACTACAATGTGTGACTGCGGCTGAGTAATATGCACGATGGTGCAGTTACTCAGTTGTATACTTGTTCTCTTTTTCGTTTTCACAACTGTGCATGTGTGTGTGTTTGTGTGTTTTCTCCCTATTACTGCTTTAAAAGGCACAAAAAACAAACGAACAATGCGAACGTCCGTCGTGGTGTGTCTTGAGGCCAGTTGCCTCATTCCCAATATGTATTCATGCGTGTGCTTTTTTACTTGGTGTGGGATTTCAAAGTGTGCTTGACGATTTGTTTTCGCTTCAATTTCTTTTTTTTTTGTGTTGTTGTTTGGTTTGTTTGTTTTTCATGTTGTGTTTTGGACGGCGTCTCTTTTCTTTTTTTGCATTTTACGTGTGTGCTTGCTTCACTTTCACCCACTGGTGTTTATTTTCCCTTCGCCCCCGCCCCCTTCACTCACTCACGTCATGCGTGTTTGTTTGTATTGGGCGCCAACAGCAGCAGCAGCTGCAATAGTGAGGACG